CCGGCTGCGCACGACGCCCCAGCCGCTCCGGCTCTCGGGCTGCATCCTGCCGGCCCTGCTCATGGCGGGCAGCTCCGCGGGCGCCAGGGTCCTCTCTGCGGGGGGGCGTCAGGCTCCCTTCATCCCACGAACCTGTCGAGAAGGGGAAAGCATCAGTGACAGGCTCTGCTGGCGCTGGGAGCAGCCCGTGGCACGCGTTTGACATGACGCATTCCTCCTTGCTGTCTAAGAGAAAAAAAAAAACCACCAACCAAACTACTCATCCTCAATGTTGCCACCAGCATCAACGCAGAAACCGGGCAGAGCCGACCTTTAAATAGCCCGGGAGAGCGCCATAAAGCAATCAGGTCTCCCTAGAATAACAAACCATACTCCAGGTTTGGAGACTCACGTAAGTGATAAGGCAGATGACACCCCGGAGCGCTTCCTGAAAACGCCTACGAGGGAGCGGGGAGCACCCCGTCCTTCGGGCCGGCACCTCGCTCTCGCCCAAAGTCGAGGTCTGGAGGAGTCGGTGTGGAGGACTTCATCTGAGCCGTCTTCCCCTTCGCCCCTTCCCTGGGCAACTGCTGCCCCAAACCCTCTACGCCTCAGCTCAAAGGAGGAGGTGGAAACGCATGAGCTCACAAGGCTGAGACGCTGTACCGTACACTTTTTGTGAGGTGTGCGCTGCCAGCCTTCCCCCAAGGGCTCAGCCCAAGCTGCACAAGCATCTCGGAGCTGAAGTCATGATAATAACAGAAATGAGAGGTGGCAATTCAGTTCACACCCAAAAGCACAGTAGCCAACATCACCTTCACATTATAGCTAGGTTAGACACAGTTTCCTCAGCAACTTGCGACGTCTTATTTACAGCCCTCCCCGCCCCGATGCTCTCCGACGTGAGGAAGCACCCTGTGGCACCTGACAAGTCTGCCAGGAAGGGGAGAGGCTCCTCGAGGGTGGGTTAGGGACAAGCACAGGCAGAGACCCCAGCTAGCAACCCACCAACCAGCTACGGGGTCTGCTCCATCCTGTGCAAGTTCTGGTGCACGTCAGACCCCGGCTGCCCCGAGCAGTGCCACCCCGGCGTGACTCCCTGCCACCGTTTATGGCATTAATGAAAAGAGGAGGTTATTAAAGGCTATTATTATTACTTCTTTCAAAGTCAGAATTTACTTAAACAAGAACTAGGAGCTTTATAAAGGAGCTTGCTCTAAATTACAAACAAGCAGGAAAAACACATTTGACTTCCTGGGACAGGTAAAAGCGTCTACCAAATGAAATATTCAGAGAAAAACTCTGATTTATTCTCTCTTATCGATGTAATTATACTGATGAGCTCTCTTAGCCTCCAGGCTACACACTGCTACCAGCTGTATATAAATTACAGATGTCTACAGAATGACTCGAGGGCAACAGGTCACCATTATTATTGCCAACTGATGTCATATGCACCATAAACTTTATCAACAGCATAAAGATCTCGGAGCATGAGCTCAAGCTTTCCAACATAAGGAGGTTTGTCTTAATTGTCAAATGGCTGCACTGGCTGGAACACATTCCTGCCTGGTGAGATCACGTCCAGCAACGACAGTCAGGCGGTTCATAACAGAACTGAAAATAGGACCAAGAATTGACCATGAAAAAGACGTGTGCACAATGTTCTGTGGATAACTGAGGAGAAAGAATCCCACTTCCCCTGGCTTCTGTAAAACAAAGCTTCTGGAAAGCCTTTCCTCTGGTCTCACACCTGCTTTGCCCCTTTGAATTTTCAACAGAACAACTGTGGACCCAGGGAGCAAGGAAGGGAGAAAGGAGGTGGAGCAGGTGTTTTTCTTCTTACATTTTAAAACAGACGAGCTTGTGGACCCCACCGCAGCAGGTAAGAGGTTACAGAAGCAGCGTCCTTAATCTGAAGGAGGAGGTCAAACACATGCCCAGCTCAGCCTTCTCTTCTTTAGAGGTATGTTAGGATGTGATAAAACATGATGAATCATTAACTTGCTAGCATTGCGTGTTTACACTTCTTTTTTTTTTTTAAAAAAAAAAAGGGGGAGAAAAGTTGTGAGCCAAGAGTAACTGCCCAGTGAAAACAAGCGGCCAGAAGGAATGCTCTTACTTAAACATACACAATTTCAGCCTGCCCATATGCCATTCTTTTGTTTACCACAGATTCCAACCTCTTAACCTCAATTAAACCCTAAAAGCTCCAGCAAATGCACTGCAGATGAATTAATAAAAGCTGAAGTCAATCATCGGCCTCTGGGACACCCTACAGGTTGTATGTTTGTGTTGGTTTTTTGGTGGTGTTTTTTTTTTTTTTTTTAAAATACATCACTTCATGTTTTAGCTCCCTGAGAGGTGCATTTTGAGATGTAATTGCTTCATCAAAGGCCCAGCAGTCTATCAACAAAACAGTCAAAGTTGCTATTTATTTGTATTCTGGTATCAGTCAGGAGGCTTATTAGTGCCCACAGTAGTGGCAAAACTTATTTACCCCAGTTTATCTCACCCAAACACACGTGCAGAGCAGCTTTGGAAAACATGCCTGTCATTAATTTCAAGACTCCTCCAATTAAACAGCTCAAACACGGCCATAAAAACTCATTAAGAACAACCCCTGCCCTTTCCCTCCCGTCTCCATCACCCCTCGAGCTGCCTCCCAGCAACGGAGCAGAACCTCAACATTTGCTCCATAAAAGTGGGAATGGCTGAGATTCACCCCAGCGAGAGGGATAACAGTGGTGGAGCCCTCCAAGGGAGGAGGAGGATGAGGAGGAAGGAGGCTGTTTGCTTTGGATCTCAGCAGGATGGCTAAACCACCTCGTGCAGCCCATACACACAACAGCACAAGGATGAGTGGCCACCACGGAGCTTGGGGCCACAGCACGGCCAGCCCGTCTGGAAGCAGGGCTCATCCAAACGGCACGCGGGCTCACGTAGCCTGGTGAGCACGGCTGTGCTTTACACATCAGTCCGAGGGACCAGTGCGAATTGGGTCCTGATCCTGATTCCAGCCTCTAGGTACTGCCACAACCACATCTCGAGGGGTAAAGCAAACAGACGAACGAGCGATCGCCTACCAGCAGCAAAACAGAACAAAGTCCTCCTCTGTCGAGGAAAAAACCCACAGGTAATTCTGTGCTTCTCTCAAAAACACCTGGAAACATGCTTTGTAAGGTTTATTACAGTAAAACATCTTGGGAAAGATGGTTTTGCTACAGCTGACAGCAAACAAGGATTCAGCACCTTCCTGACGAAGCCTCACCAGAGTGCCCCCGCAGAGTCCCATCAAAAACTACCCAGAAATGTTAAGACTCTTATTTAATGTCTTAGGCTCCAAAGACAACTAGACTCTTAGGCTGCAGTTTCACAATCAGCTCAAGCAGCTTTAATCAAGGCAGCCCTGCGGCAAGACAGACAGACAGACAACAGCCTGGGAACAAACCTGCCTTTGGCAGCAACCCACACTTGGGCTGCCTCGTACCGAGGAAAAACAGCCTGAAAACCGAAAACTCCCCTCACCTACCAAGTACTTTACCCCCTCAGAGGCATACTGCAGAGCGCCAGCACTATCTGCGAAACAGAGCAATTAAGAGCCTGAGCGAGTAAAAGAGGTAACGATAGCATACATTAGCCTTTCCCAGCAACTTTAAGACCCCACCCACCTCCTCTGACTACCCCCTGAGATGATGAAAATTCATCTGGAAAGATGCGTCAGGAGGGGGGGGAAAGTCGCTTGTCAGGGTAGGAAACAAGACTGAAGGCAGACGGCTTTATGTTGAGGCTGCAGCAGGTGTGAGAAATGCCACCTGCAACCAGGACCACGCGGTCGCGTCCTGCAGCCAGCTCCCACAAGTACCTCGACCTGTCAAGCGTCGCGGCCTCAGCATCGCTGCGGAACCAGCACGAGCCATCCGAGGACAAGGATGCCACAGGGAGGTAAGGTACTGAATTCGGTGTCCCCACGCTGCTTTAGAGGTGGAATACGCACCTGCCTTCAAACACCGAGTGCTGCTTAGTGGGCAGCCCCTGTGCAAAGCCATCGGGCGAGGAACATCAAGACAGCTCCCAGTCGCTTGGGTGCTCTGCAGGGCTGGTTCCCAAGATCGATGCAGCGTGGCCACGGGACAGGACAAACATCGGCAAAGACAACTGGCTTTCAGTCCACAGTTGGGGGGGCCGCAGCCGCGGCAGGCCTCCTGCATCCGCCGGCAACGCCTGCGAGATCTGAGCGCAGCCCCCTCGCAGGGATGGGGTGTGGGGCTGCCTTGCACCTTTCCTTCGGGATTTTCAAAAGCTATGATGGGAGATGCCTGCAGAAACTCCCAGGCTGTGGAGCCCTGGGAGGCTTAGCCATCATCCCACACCTTTTGGGACAGACGGGGAAATTGCCAAGCACTGGTCTTGGATGACAACCAACATGCTTTTTCTTTTCTTCTTGTACAAGAAGCACTCCCTGGTGACACTAAGCTTTAACAACACAGAAGAACATGCTTTCTATTAGCCTTCTTTGCAGGATTACACACAGCTCTTCGTAAGGCATGACTGCCCAGACTCCACCTTCGTGCTGCAAAGTTGCCCTGCCTCAAATTGAGCAGCACAAGTGAGTGCTAGAACATGAAACGTGCTCTTGAGCTTGTAACTCTTCTGCTTCTGCACGTGCCCGGTGTGCTCAGGAAGCAGGGCTCCCCAAAAGTCCCAGGGACACCCACTCCTAACCCGGGGCCATGTTGCTATGCTACTTTGTAGGCTGCCCTGGTCTCTGTGCTCCAAATCAGGGGACAACTCTCCTACCCAGGGATGATGCAGCGTTCTCTGGCAGCCGAGTGAAAGCACCACATGTTTCTGGGCGCATATCAGACCTTACTGCTGCAAACTGGTCCTCAGGGAGAGGAAGAAGGCTTAGCTGAGGACAAAGCACTGAAGGACGTGCTCCTATGCCGCGTGGAAGCACAACAGCAGGGCAGCTGTAGCAGGACCATGAAGGGTGGCTGCCGTGCTTCCACCCAGCTCTCTGGTGGGATGAAGAAAGCTCCTCAGCAGTGTGCTCCCTGTGAGGACAGCCCAGCATGAATCAT